CGCGGGAAATTGGCGCGCGGCTGCCAAAAATGTACCCATTTGCGCATGGCCGACGTTTGACCGCTGTGTTGATCTTACGGCGTTCCCGTCGCCGTCCGCGTTGTCGCTGCTTAAAGTCCCTTTCTATTCAGGCGGAACGGCTTCAAATTTCTGACTCACCTCGAAAGCAAAACGAGTCAATTTGAAATCGTTTCTAAGTCGTTAGCACGCTTTAATACGCATTTTAGAGTTAAAGAAAGTTTAAACTTTTGCTTGCTATAAAAGTTAAGAGCACTTGGCGATAAATCACGAAACAGTTTGACAACTAAACCAACTTTCAATTTTACGTACAGGAGAATACGACCTGCTAAATTGACCAATTACAACGCGCGTACTAACTGAGAGATATAATAAACCTTCTCGAAACTGAAGAAGGGGCATTTGAAAGCGCGGTCATCTTTATTTCATCGTCTGCAACATGTACAACCGCAGAGATATATATTTATATATATTGCTCAGTTGTGGTTTATGCATCGTGATTTCCGCTGCTGCCGTTTACAAGAAGCTTGACTTTGAGATGGAATTATTCTGAACGTAAGCTATTGTTGCAAAGCCGGCATAGGCGGAGGATTGAGGCGGTTTTAAGCCTTAATTCCCTTGGGAAGTTAAATTTATACTTGTAATATTCTTTAGGGGCACACGTACCCTAGCCTGCTAGTAGAGCACACGCTATCCGCACCAGACTTCCACTCGCCGAATCGCTTGAGCCAAAGGTGAGCCGTCTAGCTGCTACCCATCAAAACCCGTCAATTTGGTAGCGCAGTTGCTTGTTGCAGGACACATACGATCTGCGGTGAAGCGCGCACTGAAGTGCAAGGGTTTGCACAGGGAGAAAAGACAATAAACCTGAAATGATGAAACATGCCCGGCTGTACCATTTTCACTTGTCCCTCCCGCGCGATAGCTACCGGGCATCTCTTTTCTCGTTAGAACACTTTCTGGGGAGGTCCACTTCCTCCCTCCCTCTCCCCCGCAGTTTTCACGCCCTTCTATGTTCACAGCAATCACAGGCTTCAGGTTCTGGATAAAGAGGGGTAAAATCTTGACCTTGTTGGGCGTCTACTATCCCGAGGACGAGGAGGACTTCTCTCAACTTCGATTTTTTTTTCTCACGTTGAAATCGCGCTTTCTCCAGAGACTCCAGGGAGGGATGACGCGTAAGTTAGTTCTTTAGGTTGGTCAGATTCACGATTTTGGAAACGTGGAGTCAAATATGAGAGTGTCCACCGCTGCGTCAACACAAAGAAAATTGATCCGCGAATGGGAAAGTGGTCAATGTTAATCTTTTTTTCTCTATGCTCATTCTTTCAGTATCACGCTTTGTTTACGGATCTGTCTATTCATTCCCCGGACATTTGACGGGCCTTTGACATTTTGTTTTCATAAGGCTGCAAATGCCCCACAGAAGGACAGCTGGTGCATACAAAATACCCTCGGTGGGGCCGTGAGAAAAGTGCAAATGCCCCACCCAAAAAGTTAGAGCTCAACAGTACTTGACGCGTTCTTCACTTTTGTAGCGACATTGCCGTGTGCACGTGTTCGCTAATTTAACATGAAAAAAGTATTCTCTATTTGGTAAATAGCTTTTTTATAACTCTGGAAAACTCTCCCCAAGCAAAGCTGTATTGCCAGCTTCACAGCACGTTTCCCACAGAACAAAAATAACGGCGTCATACAAAAGCAACAGACTTTTCTCTTCCAGAGCGACGAGAACAAATTTGCCAAAGTTTTCAAATTTTGACAAAGTGTCATATGGAACAGTTTATAATACCTTGACAAGCGATAATCTCAGGCGTTGACAGAATGTAACAATAACCATGTTAACCTGCCACCAGGTGGCAAGTTATAACATAACCATGCAATTAGTTTTAACCACTTAGTTAACTCAGATAGAGTGTTCACTCTATTGCGTCCTATTGCAGACTTCCCAAAAGCCATTTCTCCATTAGTCATGCGTAAAATGAGAAGACCTCGATGGAACAGGAAAAAAGGAAGGGGAAGAGAGAGGGGGGTGGGGGAGGGGGCTCTGGAGGGGTGGATTGGGCAGTGGTCAAAACAGGTGGTCCTAAAAGAGACTTACAGGGGGAGGAAAATCATTACAGTATTGTATTTTCTGAACAAAAGTAGGAAGTTCGCCCTAAATTATATTTGTTGCAGTCATTTTGCATATTTACTATCAAATAGGAATCTCCTCACATGAAATATTGTTGATGGGAGGTATAGTGTAGACATCAGATAGAAAAAAGCCATCACAGTAAGTTTTGTCAACGCTTGTTTAATTTACGGGATAGCATTTAACTGGGGAATTATCCACTCTTGGGACAACCAAGGTACTCTGCAGTACTTTATTTTTTCTAGGACACTATAAAAATGTGCAAATTTCTCAAATGACAAGCTTAAAATGAATAAAAAATACATGAAACCCTTAGTGTGACCGTTCAAATGAAAGCAACTGGGCAGTACTTTCATTCATTGCTGTTCATTATGCTGTATAAGGTGGTACTAAGTTTAAAGTCTTTGATGAAAGCCTAATGAGTGACTGAGATGAAAGCTATTGAGCAGAACTTTTTCTTGATTATGCTGTACAGTGTGGCCCTAACTTTCAGTCTGTGGATGAAGTCAAATCCTGGTTGTGGCTATTCAAATGAAAGCCACTGAGCAGTACGTGAATCCCTAGTAAAAGCATGTTCATGCAAAATTATGCAGGTTATTTATAACAATGAAAATTTTCTTCTAGGTCTTCATGCCCATTTAAAAGATGTTAAAGGCAAACAGCCACATAGTTTTCAGGAAAGAGACCAGTTTCGCCTGCTTCTGTGACACCCTCATACCAACCATCATCATTTTTCTTGATCACATATATAATAACTCCCTCCTGAAACGTGAGCTCATCGCCCAGCTGCCGTTCATATTCATACAGGGACACCACTGAAAGACAGCAAACAAGTTTCAAATTATGTCTACCATAAACTTGTGAACGTACACTCTGACAGGTCCCTTAAAGTCTCACATGCATAGTGCTTTCTGATAATAAGCTACTCAAACCACACATCCCTAACTATAGTAATGTTTTCCAGAGGATTTAATAGGGTTTTTGCCAAATTATAGAACCACTGTTTTAACAGCTAGAGATTATTTACAGAATGTTTAAGACCTTTTGTGAAAGCAGAGCTTGTTGTGCACACCTCTTATCTCATATTATATAAGAAAGTAAAAAAAAAAAAGAAAGAAAAACAACGAATGGCGATGCTTAAACCTGCCGAAATTTGCTCATCCTCCCTACCTTTTTTTGTCATCAGGCTTTTCGGCACTTCCATAAATGATTGAGAAGAAAATTTTAAAAAATGGTGAACATTTTTGTATTTTAGTTTGCTACTTTTTCAATGCAAAATGAAACCGGTCTGGATGCCGGTCTAGATGGGAAAATCTAGACCGCAGTCAATATCGATTTCAGCCAATCAAATTCGTGAATTCGGTAGTTCCCAGTCCTTGTGAGACACAGCCATATAATAAACAAGAATATAAAAAAATTATACAAGAGACAAAATATTCAAATATGTGCTGCAAGCATGCCAGCCAGATACCAGTTGGGTACCAACCTGACTGGGATTTGGAGAGATACTTGGTGAGCTGTGCCATTGGTTCACAATTGACACACATCTTGCATGCTGCAATGCAAGGATCAGTATACAGCATGTGCGAGACATAATTATAAATCTGAGTGACCTGTTACAGCTCAGTGTATTTAGAGCGCCTGAATGATACATCTGAGAAATCTTGCGTTGAATCCAATCACGCACTCAGATTGTTTTCTCTGTCCCACTCTTGTAACATGTGATATTTTCACAAAATTTTCACACCAGTGAAAAATAGAAACCTACCTTTTTCAATGTAGTTTTTAGGTGTCAATGACAGCCCTTCCTCTGGTGGTATGGGTAAAGGATTCATGGAATCTGGACATATGGAAAAAAGGAACCAGAGTTTGTACATTGCTTTTTTAATTTAACTTCTTTGACAATTAACATATTGCTGTTTGCAGATGTCTGACTGCGACACATGTTGCACTTAGAAAATATACCAATCCCCAACACCTTGCAGCAAAAGTTCTTTGTTCAGTCCTGACATCTTTCTGAAATTTCAGGCATTTTTATCTCTTTAACCCAATGCTGGAGGTGAAACAAACTTCTACAAGCAATTGTAACTCTGGTAGACCTTCATTGTCTGGTTGATCCTGCTTAGGTCAGACCAATGGGGGCGGGAGAGGGGTGATCATTATGATCTGTTCACAAACAAAATCCACAGCAAATGAAGGGTTCCTTAACAACAATGGAGTCATAACTGGCACTAACTGCCATCAACCTCAAATGAGGAAATGGCAATTTGCTTAATGTTGAACAAAGGTCAAAGATGTGCAAACAAAACCAAGTGTAGTTACCTAGTTCAGGTAATCGAGCTGCACCATCAAGCATTGACGAAGGTGGTGGTGGTAGGTCAGACACTGCTCCTCCTATACTGGGAGGGGGCGGAGGAGATGGTATACTGGGGAATGGTGGTGGGGCAGGCACTGCTTCTCCTATACTGGGAGGGGGTGGAGGAGATGGAATGCCAGGGGGTGCTGGTGGGGTAGGCACTGCAGCTCCTCCTATACTGGGAGGGGGTGGATGAGATGGTATGCTAGGGGGTGGTGGTGGGGTAGGCACTGTTCCTCCTATACTGGGATGGGGTGGAGGAGATGGTGTGCCAGGGAGTGGTGGTGGGGCAGGCACTGTTCCTCCTATACCGGGAGGGGTTGGGGGAGATGGTATGCCAGGGGGTGGTGGTGGGACAGGCACTGCTCCTCCTATACCGGGAGGGGGTGGAGGAGATGGAATGCCAACAGCCAATGGAGCAGACAGATCTCCCAGAGGAGGAGGAGGGGGAGGAACAATGACATCGTCATCAGGAGGCAGAAATGGACCTGCAGGTGGGAAGGGTATAGAGGGGGGTGGGGGCAGTCCTTGCTCTGAGTAAGGGACAGAGGGGGCCATTGGTGGGGATACAGGAGGTTTAGAAGGTGGTCTTCTCTTTGACGCCCCTCCACCCTGCATCTTCTGCCGCAAGCTTCCCTTGTTTTCTGCTATTTGCTGTTGTGGCTTTAGTTCACAGCTTGGATGGCGTTGTTTTTCTGAGTGTTCACTTGTGGTGACACCATGCCCTGCAATAACATCAGAGGTGTTAGTAACAATAACCATAAATGCACAATGAATCTTCACTCTAGTATAAACGGAACTACAAGCATAGTTTACATTTTCCTACATGGTGAAAATGCTACCTTAAATGCCATAGTGTGCAATGTAACAAGAATTTGTTAACAACAACAACTAGAAGTAAATTTTTATTTGATTCTCAAGGATTGTTTTTCTGTTTTTCTTAGGTGTGTGAATTAGGTAGATGTATGCGTAACAAATTTAGACGATAACATTTTGAAAACAAGCCTGCATAGTAATACTTAGTAGCTAACATGCTTGCAATCTGCTTTGCAGCTGTAATTCACCCTTCCAGTACTCAGTCACATGGTTAAGTCAATCATCAACCAAAATGACGTCAGAGAGAGTCTATTTTGTACTGTGAGGTTTTATGGTGGCTCATTAAAATTTGAAAAAAGTTAAAATTTGTAGTCTGGATGGCAGTGAGTGTCCAAAGAGAGAGTTTCTTTTGTTCAGGTTAGTTATAAAAAAGAAATAAAATACCCAAATGATCCAATGCTGAGGGATCAATTGCTCTTCTGCTGTATCTTGCTGCCTTCTCTTGTTCAGGTGGAGCCATGATTTTAAGTCTGTGTCCAGTTGGTTTACTGGAAGCCAAGGTGCCTATTCCTCGACGAGCCACTTTTTCTTTGTGGATGTCAACAGTCTATTTACAGATTT